CTTTAAAAACATTGTCCCTAACAGTCTTTCTTTAAAAACATTGTCCCCAACAATACTTTCTTTAAAAAACATTGTTTTTCAATTTACCATTTTTTAAGGTGTAAGTATTGATGTGTCCAGCAACTTTTCTGTTGGCTTAAAAAAATTGTAATTTTGACACAATCAACTTGATGTCTGTCATATTGTAAAGTAGTTGTGATAATAGTTGAGAACTAAATGTAGAACTATAATAATTAATAATTATTTTGCAAATGAATCTTATCATTTATTGTAATAAATAAAAAATTCTTCAGCTTTAATTCTTATTAGTTTTTTCTATTAGAATGGTTTTATTTTGGGATTTATGTGTCATGGCTCTCTGGATTTCTAAGTTTATTTTGATTCTGAATTAGCATTATGACTGTGTGTCTTCTATGGTTGTAGCTAGATATATATAATGTTTTGTAATGAGATAGAATGAAATTTATTTCTTTACATTTTCTTTAGGTTCTACTAATAATCAGTTACCAAAGTTTATTACTGTAGTAATAATAATAAAAAAGTAACTAAATGATAATTAGAGACTTAGATGATAATGTAGTCTACTGGCCATGACAGTGGTTGACCTTCCCTCAAGTAGTTTTAGTCTCAATTAAATTTTATTGGTTTGTAAATTCCATTAGCACAAAAGTACACTTATCACTTTGGGGCTCTAAATGCTTTATAAGAGTGAAGGTCAGATCCCACTTTTTAATCAGACAAGAGCAGCCCAAGTTTATTGAGTAGCTGCTTTCCTTTTAGTCTGTCAACTCAAAATTAGGCATAGCTATGTGTAATTTTGCTTGAACCTTTGAAACAGTGAATTTTGTAAATAACATATAAGATTTCCATTCGTATGGTACATTCACCACAGGACTGAACTCTCTCCCTCAGTGTTTTGAAAAGGATTTTCTCTGCTTAGTTAATGACGAATAATCCTTTGTATCCAATTGATGAAAATTAATAGTAACAACTATTATTGACATTTTCAACATTTGCCAATAAAATAAAATTAATGCCACGCTTCTTAAATATTATCAAAAAACTATATTACATTACTATTGGCTTTTCAAGGCTGAAGACCCACAGTCCAACTGGCATCTGTTAGCTTGACTCTGATAATCCCATGAAAATTCCGAACCTGGGTTGTTTCCAGAAAGCAGACTTCCTGTTGTGAAGAGCTAGTTTTACACAAGTTTCTTCAGTTTGTTTAACAGTCATTTCCTTAGTTTAGTCTGATATGTGAATGATATTAGAAGAAAAGAAATTCAAAGACATGTAAGAAACAGACCAGTAAAACTAGGTTACAAATTACTGCGTGTAAAATTTACTGTAGTAGTAAACTAGGTTACAAATTACTGCGTGTAAAATTTACTGTGGTAGTAAGATCCGTAAGATTTTTTTTTTTTACTACTTTAGAATTGACCTAAACATCTTAAGTTTTACTATACTCTCAGGCAGGTGTGATAGTTGAATGTAGATAGTTGAATGAATCACGTTTCTGTATTCCTGTAATATTATAGTATTCATTCTTTGTAATGTGCTTGTGCAGGTTTCACGTAACACATGGTTGCAAAAATTAACTTGTTCTCGGAAGCAGATAATGCCTGTTGTCACCTGATATGATATTATTTAATACAACATGTTGTTTAAGGATGTTGACAGTTGTGTTCTTCAGGTGATATCTGGAGATTAAAGCACTACCTACAAGCCAGGCAACATCCCACATGAAAAGTAACTGCCCACATAGATATAGGGAGCAGATATGGATACTCAAGCCAGGCAACATCCCACATGAAAAGTAACTGCCCAAATAGATATAGGGAGCAGATATGGATACTCAAGCCAGGCAACATCTCACATTAACAACTATGATTTATCATTTGCAGCCAGTATTGACAAGGTAGTTGCTCTTAATGAAAAAGAAAAGCAAGGAAGGTAATTAAAATAGAAAACAAAACCATCCTACTGGAACTGGGCCACTTATGGTGATAAATGACAATTATCTTCTGAAGCTTAATTGTTTCATACTTGTGGTATGTCCAAGTGCAACAGAATTAACTATAGTTTTACAAGAGATAGGTCTGACAGGAGATTAGCTCAAAATATCAAATAACAAGAAGTACCAAATCTCTCACTAAAATAAGTAGTAAGGGTACAGAAAAAGTGCTATACAATATGAGCAATCATTATTAAAAACAAACACAGTGCATGTACTTGCTGTTACTTTACTGAATCATATGACTGACTAGATGAAGTTCCAGACCAGACTAACTAAATACAACATTCCTTAATTTGCTAGAAAACTTGCATTTACCCTCAAGATGACTAGTACTACCCACGTGACTGGTCACTTCTCATTAAACCATGTATCCATATCTGCTCCCTATATCTATGTGGGCAGTTACTTTTCATGTGGGATGTTGCCTGGCTTGAGTATCCATATCTGCTCCCTATATCTATGTGGGCAGTTACTTTTCATGTGGGATGTTGCCTGGCTTGAGTATCCATATCTGCTCCCTATATCTATGTGGGCAGTTACTTTTCATATTACAATATATTTTACCTTTCAATAGAGTAACTGAGCCTGTCATGGCCTGGTGGTTAGAGCTTTCAATTTACAATCTGAGGGTCACTAGTTCAAAAAACCTTCACCAAACAAGCTCATCCTATGTGGTTGCTGACTGGACCAGTCAACTGAGTTAAAAATTCTTGGCTTGCAATAATACTGGCTGACTCCAAACTAAATGGGATTAAGATAAAATATATATATATAAAATGGTGTAATCCATACTTTAGCATTTCTACTGTTTTGAAGAATACATTTTTGTATCAACTATTTAATAATATCAATGGAGGGAAGAAATCTAGATTTCTTTGTAATCAAATATGTATTTACAGTTTGCTTCAGTAATAAGGAATAGTGTCTACATTATTCATTGAAAAACAAATTTCATGTTTCAGGATGGTGTGAAAAATTCTTTAAGCTTAGCTGCTCACGGCTGGCCAAGTCTTTTCATTACTGTAAGAAGAGATTGGAGAAAATGGGACTTTCTGTATATGACTCTGTAGCAGGCTTTTCCTTGTGGGTTGACTTCAGACAGGTATAGATACATTCACTTCTTTACATGTGAAGTGTATAGTTTACGTGAATCTTAGCATGTTTACATAAGCTTCTCATCTATTAGGGAACTTGCTGATATCGTTGTATATGGACTTTTCATATCTCTTCTTTTGGTTAAGACAATGTTTTGGACTAGAAAAGACAGTGCGTATTAGCATAGAAAGCAGACTTTGTTATTTTACTGTTTTGTTGATTTGCATTGATAACATATTTTTGACAGTGTTATTTCATGTTTGTCTTAATAGAATCTTATGAACGTATGCCAAATTATAGTTTTTAAGCCTAAGAAATTATTTGTTTTTATATTTGAAGTATTGTCACTTTATTGTACATTCAGAACTTTTTTTTACCAAATATTCAGCATGCTGTTTTAACTACTGTTGCAGTTTTTATTTGTACAGTTTGAATTTAAGGTGTTTTTTTTTTTTATAAGAATGAAAAAAAAACAAGTAGGCTTAATATCTTAGTAGGCTTAAAATCAAAGTGTTCAAATTGTTTTCAGAAACAATTTTAGATTTAGATGTAAACTATTTCTGATGCAGTGGCTAATTAAATAAGTTAAAAAATTGTGAAAATATAGAATAATTATGAAAACTGAAGACATTCTTAACATTATACCCACATGTGAGTAGAAAATATATTCATTGTATGAAAATTTCATAGCCCACTTAATTAAGTCTAGCTGGGAATAAAATATTATTTCATAGCCCACTTAATTAAGTCTAGCTGCGAACAAGATATTATTTTTGATTTATTGCTGTGAAAAATGCTGTTAATTTGTCATTCTTGTACAAAGCTCAATTTTTTTTAACTTTTAGGAGAAGAACTATGGCTATAAAGTTTCCATACATAAAGGTGTCTTTATTTGATAACATTAAATATTTAACTTTTATTTTAGAACTATGGCATGAAGTTTCCACACATAAAGGTGTCTTTAATTAATAACAAAAGTTAAATATTTAATATTTTAGAACTATGGCATGAAGTTTCCACACATAAAGGTGTCTTTATTTGATAACAAAAGTTAAATATTTAATATTTTAGAACTATGGCATGAAGTTTCCACACATAAAGGTGTCTTTATTTGATAACAAAAGTTAAATAATAAATATTTTAGAACTATGGCATGAAGTTTCCATACATAAAGATGTCTTTAATTAATAACAAAAGTTAAATATTTAATATTTTAAAACTATGGCATGTAGTTTCCACACATAAAGGTTGTCTTCATTTAATAACTAAAGTTGTTTATAATTGATTTTATGAAAATGAACATATTTTGTGATTAAGTTTGTTGGTTGTTTCTTTAATCTACACTAAATAATTTCTAGCTGGTGATTAAGTCAGTTGAAGAATTCTGAACTTTCCTACTTTCACAGTTTAACATTAGAATATGCACTGTGTACTTGGTAGAGTGGATGTTTAGAAATTTCTTTGTTCGATTAAATACTTATAATTTTAATATCTGAACTGAACCAAACTTTTCAACAGTATTGTGAGCCATTGACGTTTGACGGAGAAAGGCTTATGTTTGAGAAAAGTTTGCACGAAGCCAAGCTATATATAGCCCCTGGTGAATCATTACATTGCTCTGAACCTGGATGGTTTATTATTATTTTTAGCATTAACCCTGAACATATGGAAGAAGGTAAGATGATAGTTTTTTCATGTGATAACTGCTATTCCTCTGTAATATATCATATTGAATTTATTTAAAATATATATCTTAGAATGGATAGAAAAACTTGACAAATAGATAATAAAATTTATACAAACTGGAAATGTACGGTTCAACTTAAGGATTTTGTTTACAGTTACTATCATAAAAATAGTTTGAGAGAACTCCATCATCTGTTAGTTTGAAAATCTCTCTAAATTAGTTTTTTTTTAAAGATACCGAACCTTGTTGATTGAAGGTAATTTCTAAGCATGTGAATAATTTTGTTACATTAACTGTAACTATAAGAATTAATAGTAACTTCTCATCAAACCTACACAGAACCAGAAATATCTCTAATTTGATATTCTGTTCTTACATTGTTACTTATAATGATCAAGTAAAGTGTTTTTTCAGTTGGGTCAGCTAATTTTGTTACATTAACTGTAACTGTAAGAATTAATAGTAACTTCTCATCAAACCTACACAGAACCAGAAATATCTCTAATTTGATATTCTGTTCTTACATTGTTACTTATAATGATCAAGTAAAGTGTTTTTTCAGTTGGGTCAGCGTTAGTTTCAATCATAAACTTAATAATATCTCATAAAGTTCGGTTAGCTTAGGAGATTTAGGTTTGTCCTAATTTCAAACACACAACTAACAGGGCAAAATATCTGAAAAAGATAAAAATATATAGTAATAAAGAATAATAAATAAATATATATATATGAAATATCATAACCAGTAGTGTTGGTAAACTAAAAGAAAGTATACAGGGCTATTTTGTTATGACATTCAACCTTTTTGACCTGCTAGATTAAAGCTAAGCATTTGTAGAGATTCATTTGACTGAACTGAAACTTGTAAACCAAAAGAAGTGGACAACATATAGTACAGCCAAGTAATACAGTATGTAATTTTTATATGCAATATTTATCATATATAAATATTAACAAACGTTTTAAACCTTCTTCACAGCTCTAGATAGACTGGATACTTTCTTAAAAGACCTTCACAGAAGTAGTCAAGGAGATGAAACTTCTTCCAAAATTCTGTGTGAGGATAATAAGGGTATTGAAAAGGGTATGTTAAATTGTGAAAAGTATCAAATTATTGTTGTCATTCTGTTTTACTTAGAGTGTTTCTATATTCAAATAAAAATGTAACCCTTATGCTGCTTAATTTCTGTAAACTTATATATGAAAACACACAAAACAGTAGTGTTCATAATGCAGGAACCCCAGACTTGTAACACTAAGGTAAAAACAGCCCAATGGACTACCTGTGCTGTGTCCACAATGAGTATTAAAACCAGATTATTAATTACAAACAAACATAATGCAGAGAACCCTGTGGAAATTCTTGAACCAAATGTTTTTGTCACGTTGTGAACACTTTGTATAAATATATGATATTAATTAATCATTGTTTAAACTATTTTCTAATTCTGTAATCAGTTTTTCACACTGAGTAGTGGAAATAATTAGTTCATTACTTAACAACCAAATTTATAATGTTAATGGAAAAATAGGTTTTCTCTTTAAGTGCCGTAGGGATCTACATATTATAAACATCTTTGATTTTCTAGATCAACGAGCCAGCCAGTCATCACTAGAAGAATTGGTTGCATTACTTAAGAGACAAATAGACACATCTGATTGGCTGTCTCACAATACTGCTGACCAGTGGAGAGCTGACAATCCTGATGGTGCTGAAGCATTTGAGAAAGAGCAAAGAAAACATGAAATGAACAAATCAAAGTAGGAGTGAGAAAAAAAGCTTTTTCAGTTTGGATTTGTTATATTACTATTTTTATGCTTCAGTGTATCATTCTTAATACTTCTGAGGCTTTTTTAAAAAAAGGAAAACTATAACTGAGTATATATATTTATGTTTTTACTTAATTTCAATATTACTTGATAACATTTATAAACCTTTATATTGTCAGGTTTTTAGAAATGTCTTAGCAAGAATTTGAGAATAGTTCGCCAAATTACAGTAAAGAAATAAATAAATCAGAAATGACAAAAAGGAAAAGCATGTTTTCCAGCATTTGTGTAAATACATTTTTATTCACTGTTCCTTTTCCTGCTTGAAAATTTTCAATGTTTTCTAACAATTATACATTGTAAAGTGAAGTGCTTGAGAGTAGTAACGATCATCTTGTATCCTTCATCTTCTCTCTACAGTTTGCTCTGTAATAACTAGTGAATATTTAATAATGATGGCAAAATAAACAGCAACTTAGACCACAAATATCCACACATAGATTAGTGCTTAAACTGTATCTCACATCATTTACTGTCTATCTGTTTACGAGGTTTAATACTCTTACTCGCAAAACATTTCCGGCCAAATTAGTATCTTTATCGTAACAGTACTTCTTTAAATATAACATTTCTAGCACAATACAAACAAATTACAATCGTAGACAACGAAATGCGTAAATTCACTTGTATATACGCCGTACTTTATAAAACTTTAACTTATGTTGGGCCTAACAGTGTAACCTGTGTTCGTTTTTTTTTTTACTTTAGTTTATTTATGACTAAACTTTACTTTACTTAATACTGTCGATAAATAAACTTATAATATTATTCTACGACCTAACATTCTCCTTTTGTTGTTACTTCTTGTTTCATACAGCAATTGTAGCGACTTGATTATTGAGCTTTGCAGCTCTCTGCCGCAGGCAGACTGTTTGTTGTCGAGTGATTAATGCGCATGCACGGTTTTTCTTGAGGAAACATTCTAACTATGCACGCTTATGCAGCAGGTTCTCAGACAGAAAGCGTAAAGGTCGTACATACAAACAAGTAGAATAATAATATAGATTAGTCTACAAAAACTAGCAGGAAAATTTTTAAAACTGTGATTTTTTTATTTCAGGAAACACTGCTGTAGAAAAAATATATATACATATATTTAGTTTATAACAAAATAAATGAAGTATATGAATGTGTTTGTATGGTTAGAATTTAAAATATATTAGATAATGTGAAAATATACATCATATATTCTTATTGCAATACAAATTGTTAATTAGGACATGAAGATAGTGAGTAATAGACTGTAACAGAATATCAAATTAAACTTGATATAGTTGGTATTAATAATGTTCATATAAACATATCCATATCCAAAGACAGTGTTTCGATGTAATAAGAAAATAAGTGGTTGACACTTTGTTCTGTAAGTGATTATTTGTATACATCTCTCGCATCAAACATGACTTCTATTTGTTTACATCTCTCGCATCCAACATGACTTCTGTTTGTTTACATCTCTCGCATCCGACATGACTTCTATTTGTATACATCTCTCGCATCCGACATGACTTCTATTTGTATACATCTCTCGCATCCAACATGACTTCTATTTGTATACATCTCTCGCATCCAACATGACTTCTATTTGTTTACATCTCTCGCATCCAACATGACTTCTAAGAGATGTAAACAAATAGAAGTCATGTTGGATGCGAGAGATGTATACAAATCGCATCCAACATGACTTCTATTTGTTTACATCTCTCGCATCCAACATGACTTCTATTTGTTTACATCTCTTGCATCCAACATGACTTATATTTGTATACATCTCTCGCATCCAACATGACTTCTATTTGTTTACATCTCTCGCATCCAACATGACTTCTATTTGTTTACATCTCTCGCATCCAACATGACTTCTATTTGTTTACATTTCTCGCATCCAACATGAATTCTAATTAAATCTCTTGCATCCAACATGACTTTTATTTGTACACATCTCTTGCATCCGACATGACTTCTATTTGTTTACATCTCTCGCATCCGACATGACTTCTATTTGTTTACATCTCTCGCATCCGACATGACTTACATTTGTTTACATCTCTCGCATCCGACATGACTTACATTTGTTTACATCTCTCGCATCCGACATGACTTACATTTGTTTACATCTCTTGCATCCAACATGACTTCTATTTGTTTACATTTCTCGCATCCAACATGACTTCTATTTGTTTACATTTCTCGCATCCAACATGAATTCTAATTAAATCTCTTGCATCCAACATGACTTTTATTTGTACACATCTCTTGCATCCAACATGACTTTTATTTGTACACATCTCTTGCATCCAACATGACTTTTATTTGTACACATCTCTTGCATCCAACATGACTTTTATTTGTATACATCTCTCGCATCCAACATGACTTCCAAAAAAGTTCATATTTTCACCGAATAGCCCATGTTTTTTTCTAAACTTTTTTTAAAAACATTTTTCCCTCATATTTCAATAGAAAGATGCCCTTGATGTAACACTTTGAAAATGGATATTTTTTTCATCAAAATTCCCAATAGTTATTTCACAATCTGTTATCAAAATTTCGACTATATTCGATTTTACTGTTTTTTTTGTCTTAAGTTCTATTGTAAACAAAGAATAGTTTTAAAATAAGATTATTCAAACAAAATCCCAACATCTAAAAGGCATGACGTATTCTTATAAAATAAACTCCACCTTTTGGATTGTTTTTATACTGGGAAAATGTATCAATATTTGTCTACTGTTCTTTTGAAGGTAAATGATCTTGTCCCCGTGAGAAGTTGGCCCTAGTTGAAATGTTTCTATATTTTGTCGGTGAACAACCAAACTTTGATGGAATTTTTGAACTGAATTAGGACGCCATATTATATTTCTATTTCGTCAAGCTGAAAAAGATACAAGCTTCTCCTGGAACATGTTTTACAATTTTAATTAATTGTTTTTTGTAGCAGTTGGAGACTAGTATATACACTGATGTGCTATTATTGTTTGTAAGTGGATAATTATTTCTAGTAAACACATGAAATATATGTATTCTATAGATCTGTATGTTACACATTGATCATATTATATTTTTCAGTCAATAAATAAATTTGTTGCATTTCTACCCAATATTGAGTTTTAAACAACTTTTGCTGATCGCTAAACCTAACGCGACTATATATTTATGTTATAAATTTCAATTGTCCATCATGATTGTTATGGAGAACAACGATTTTTTACGGACTTTTAATTCATACCACTCAGTGTAAACCAAGAGTCTTGAGTTTTATTCAATATTAACATTAATTATTAATTACAAATCTATATAAATATAATAGTACTGTCGTATTGGTGAAACAATTACATATTTATATTACCATAACTCTGAATGTACTGTATGTATCTTCAGGAAATTTGACAAGCTTTCAGCAAATATGCCATGAAAAAAAACCTGATTTGTTTTTGATAAAGCATATCTACTAAAGATTTCCATATGAACTTGCATAATATTGCTGAGAGAGTGTGAGTGGAAGACGATTTTAAATTAAGAATAAAAATAGTTTTTCATCTTACAACTTTCATGTTTCATTTGCATAACTTCTAGAACTTTCTAAATGGTAAAACTTTATATTTTATCCCATATTTTTCAAACCCTAACACTAACTGTAGATAAATCATCAATGTAAAGTAAGATGAAAAGTGATGCCATTTTACTCCTTCACGTTTATCTTAACCGTTTCAAGTTGTGTTTTCTTTTAATTTTGTAATTTTATTGTTGTACTTTGTACCAGTTGGGCAGTAATCATCGTGTTATCAAAATCAATAAATCACAGTGGGAGACTTTAGCAGTTTCTAACAGCACATGTCGGTATGATGAAATATGACAAACGTATGGCTTAACCTCAGTTGCTTGGACTTGAACTTATGACGTTTTAGACGTTTAATTTCCCAGAAGTTTTGTGAGGTTAAGCTGAAAAGTTTCTTATTCTTAAATTTTAATTACGTTATTAAAAATCGTTAAGAATAAATAAACAATATATATAAAATTGTTTTAGTATAATCTAAGTTCTTGTTTAGAAAAAGATGTTTACTTGATCATTAAATGACTATACAGTGAATACAATTAGTTGATTGGAAGATCATCAACTGAAACGACATTCCATAATATCTGTGTAGCAGCAGATTAGTCGATTGGAAGATCATCAACTGAAACGACATTCCATAATATCTGTATAACAGCAGATTAGTTGATTGGAAGATCATCAACTGAAACGACATTCCATAATATCTGTATAACAGCAGATTAGTTGATTGGAAGATCAACAACTGAAACGACATTCCATAATATCTGTGTAGCAGCAGATTAGTTGATTGAAAGATTAACAACTGAAACGACATTCCATAATATCTGTGTAGCAGCAGATTAGTTGATTGGAAGATCAACAACTGAAACGGCATTCCATGATATCTGTGTAACAGCAGATTAGTTGATTGGAAGATCATCAACTGAAACGACATTCCATAATATCTGTGTAGCAGCAGATTAGTTGATTGGAAGATCAACAACTGAAACGACATTCCATAATAT